GGCTTCTTATATAAGGGATGGGCTGACGGATCATAGCCCTCGAAACGGAACCTATAATACATTTACATTCAATTTAATCATTTCATATTAATGCCACAAAAACTATAACTTTTATAAAGGTGTTATTATCAAAGAGTTAAAACATAATAAAACGTTACTATAAAAACACTACTGTATTCCTATACTAACTTATTATAGGGCATGTATGGCATAAGTAGTAATTACAATTTGTAGAATTTAATTTGCTTGCTTAATAAACTAGACATAATTGAAAAATAATTAAATGAATACCTTCTTAGCAAAAGTTTGGCCACATTATCGGCACCCCTATGTTGTCCGAGGTTAGCATCGGTGCCATTATGTATGAGTGTCTCCAACAGCTCGACCTGAGCTATGAAGTTCTCAATACTCTGACCCACAGGCCATAGCCTGCCCCGACTGGCCTGGCTGTTTTGGGCTATACATTCCCTTTCTATGACTGTTTGGTACAAATCATACGAAGCGCTGACTGGATTTGAATCAACGATAATCTGATTGGACCCGTATTGGCACAATACACCGGCCGTTGATATTAACAATATTAAAGTCCATAATATTGTCTCCATTTCTCTCTAAACGTTAATAATTATAATAAGAAAAATGTTTGTTCAAATATATATCCAAAAATCACAACTTCTTATTGTAAACCACTTTTCATTTCATTATGTGGTCGAGAAACAAATAAATGGATAAATATTTTTACGATTATTCACTCAATTGTGTGTTTCATATGCAATATATTCAACACATTCCTTAATTCATATATTAAACCAATAGTAAAGTGTAAATAAAATGACTTACTTTTATATATCAAACCATATATAATATCTCTTTTTTCCCTTTTAATGATAAAATGTGAAACTTTTATTTCATTCCCTATTCTATACGTTAATAATACATTTAATTAGATAATCACTATTAGAGAGTAAATCTATTTTATTATTTATTGGCGTGTCGTTCAGGAAACTCAATGATAATCAGTGGCTGAAGACTCAATGCAAATGTAAAAACACTTAAAACTTTATCAAAATATTAAATGTATTTTTTTTATTACAGACGGAAATGTAATTTTTTGAATATTTATTAATTCCGGTGAGACTTAAGTCAAGTGAATGACTGATACTTTTTTAAGTAAAACACTTTTGTTACATAATATTTATATATTAAATAAATTCTTGTGATTCATTAAAAGTATATTTAAGGCATTTTTGGAAAACATATTTTCTTTTTTAGAAATGAAATTGATATTTATTTTAAGAAATCAAAATGATCAACACTCTTATGATGTAAATTGATATTCACTTCTATATTAATAAGCAAAGCACTCAATATAATCAATGAAACTTTATATACAAATTCAATTCACGACTGATTTTAACAAAAATTTTACAGAATGCTAGATATTTTGAAGTAAATTTTCCGTATTAACAAAAATTGACAAAAAACCACAATTTCAATATTAGCATTGAGCATAACATGAA